GCGTAACTGGCAAATGTAATTTCGCGAAATGCTTCCATTGATATAAGAAGGCGCTCCTCCCGCGGTGTCTAGGGATAAGGGTGACGCAGGGGGTGAAGCAGGAGGGAAGAAGGAGCGAACGTAGAAAAGCGGAGAAGGTAGAAAATGGAGAAATGGGTGGGGAGGGAGGTCGCAGGAAACTGCAAGCTAGACGGATATATCTTCCGAGTAAATTAAAATGGATTTTATATATATACATATATATAATGCGTGTGTGTGTACGTCGACTCGATCTCTCTCCATCTTCTTTCTTCCCAAAGCTGCGCGTTATCGCCACGCGCGATTGTTACGCGACGCTACTCGCAACGGAGTGGCAAACTTTCGTAACGAATTTCTATCCTTTCCTCGAAATCTTCGCCGCCTCTTCGACGCGATAGGAAATAAGGGAATTATTCGAAGAATAATCCTGATCCGATATCAAGAGAAGGAGATCCTCTGCGTACTTTGGCTGTGTCTGGTAGAATAATTTGCAACGCGACGCGCGTACACACAGACGCGGAGGACACAGACGGAATCCTAAAAGGAGGACAATTCCGGGGAAGAGTGGAGCCGTTTGAAACATCGTGTTGTCCCGGAGCAACGGTGTGGCGAAGGAAGGAAGGAAGGAAGGAAAACGGGAGAAGAGAGGAGAGGAGTGGCATAGTAGGTCGGTGGCCACAATTCTGGAAAGCCCAAGTTGGCTGGCGTGGAAGGTCGGGACACGGAGTCGACCATGATGTATGCTCCTCTTCCGTCTAATTAAACTTGGGGAGGTCGCAGAGTTGGTTGGTTGGTTGGTTGGTCGGTCGGTCGGTCGGTCGGTCGGTTGGTTGGTCGGTCGGTCGGTCGGTTGGTACGCTGGCTGCTCGGACAGACGTACGGTGAGGGGCGGCCGTCGGGATGGCTTTCAAAATGACAGCCAAGGAGGGAGGGAGAGAGGGAGGAGGAGAGAGAAGGAGCGAAAGCGGTGAGAACAACGGAGAAAGACGTCGCCTCTCGACCTCTCTCCCGGAACAACCGGAACGATTCGCTACTCTGACGTCGTTACGACGTCCTCCGCCGTTTCAACATCCTTGTATCGAATTAACGTCCGTCCATTTCTACCCACCTTTAGAGACGTCTAAATTGTTCATTTTCTTCCGGGGGGACGGATAAATCACCGAGACTCGAACGTTTCTTTGCGCTACTCGAACGGACTATTTCCCCGAAAGCGATTTTTCACCGACAACCACCGATTTTCCCGGTAAATTTTTCACACAATTTTCCTTCCGCGATTTCTCGGCTTCTCTTTTGTGTATCGAAATCGAGAGACACAGACCCGTTGAATGTCTCGATTACGGATCCGCCTTTTTCTTCTCTTTAGTTCCTTCGTTGAACGAGAAACGAAGAACGAATCGCGTTAGATGCGATAAATCAAGGGAAGTTGAATATAGCTCGCGATGGTAAATTTATCACGGTGAAAGCGAAACTCGAGGGGGCATCGTTTTCATCGGGATCATTCCAGATCTTAGCCGGCCACCGACCACGGCGAAACATTTCACCCCGAAACATTTCGAAATCGCGGCGACCCGCGCCAAGGAATTCGTCGGAGCTCGCCAATAACCTGTCCTCGTTCGAGAAAGCCAACGCCAATCCCCGGCTCGCGTTCCGCATTGACGTGCGCCGAGAGAAAAAGAGCGAGAGGCGAGGGGTGGGATAGGAATCGTACGCGGGCCACATACATAGTTTTGCATAGGATAAAAAGCGTGTCGCGGTCGTAGACGAGGGGAAAGGGGGGAAAAGGTGGCTGAGTTTCGGCCGACGTTCGAGTTCAAAGGAGACGAATACCGAATGGAAAGAAAACAGGCACGGCTGGTTACATGTCGCATATTGCGAGACGTTTATTAACTGGGTTTTTCTCTTCTTCTTCTCGAGTTGTTGGGACACGAGAACTTTGGTCGATAGATTGCAATCAATGAATTGTAAACGAATTTATTTCAGATGCGATGTATGTATTTAACGGGAATATCTTAAAAAAAAGTCCATCTAAAGACGAAATTCGAAAACATAATGGAATAACTTCGAACGAAAATACAAGCGAAATCGGCGAGGAGCTAGTTGCATCGTGATTGAGCCACACCCGTTTCAGACATCTGTTCCGCGATAATTACAGGCGAAACGGAGTCTCGCGGGGTGGAAAGGGAGGGGGACGTTAGCCCTTGTTGGTGGGGCCGTAAGTCATCGCGAGAGAAAGATTAGGACGCTAAATCAAGACTGTTGAGGCCGTAATTCGTTTGGTGGAAAAAGGGGGATGTCGGAAGGAGGTCTTTAAGAGAGCTGGCACTCGAGTGAATACACGCTTGGCTCGAGTCAGTTACTCTTTTAAGCCGTAATATGTATCCACCGCGGCGAATGAATTCTGGTTCGCGGTATAGTCTCGCTTAATCGCTCGTAATAACGCTGAGACGAATGTCTGAGCGGGGCGACCGTCACGAAAAACCGTTTCAATTTCTGGCAATGAATACCTCGTATCGTAGCACGACGATCCTCTCGTCACCAATTTTACGAAAGAAAGAGCACGTGTCTCTTTAACACTTTACCTTTATCTCTTATCTCGAAACTCGGATCTCGAATTACGTCAAATACATTTTACGCCCGATTTTCGCGTAATAACACGGGACAGATTTAAAACTCCTTTCAAAGTCGTATCGTAATTCGACGAGAGAATAATCGACGAGGAGAAAGTATTAATTTTTATATTCGTGCTACGTTCGTTCCTTCGTTCTATCCGCGCAACGGTCGATAACTAATTACTACGCTCGTTTCCCAACTATTAATAATTAACTCTCCTTTCTAAATTGCGATATCGCCACGCTACGCGTTCAACCTAATGTATTCAGCGTATATTTCCATTCCAAATATCACGTTAATAAGATCGTGTCCACTCGTTCCTTATCGTTCACCGATAATCGTTTGCCCGCCGACAGATGGGTAATAAAATTTCGCGAAGATCGGTCGTGGACAGGGAATCAAATCGACACCGGTATCACACCGGTGGGGACACGCGATTCTCGAGTTACATTAAAATCCTTTCAAGCGTCGCGGCGTTAACGCGAGGAGAACGCGATTAAACGCGAACAAGAGGAGAGGAGTTGGTCGCGTATCGGGTTGGACCAAACCTCGTCTTTTCACGAGCGCGATACCGTCATCGCGCAAACAGCGTATATGCATTAAACCATGAACCCACTATCCCCGACGTCATATCCAATACACGTTTTTAAGGAGGGGAGGGGTTGCCGAAGCCGGCGGTGGAGAAGCGTGGAGAAAGCTGGGCGAGCGGGGTAACGGGGGCGGCGCGCTGGTTGCGGGGTGGTTTCCAGGGTGGCTGCCCCTCCCCAGGTCCTCCCCTCCTCGTGCGGTAATGGCATTAACCGAGCTGCAATATGATTACCGCTCTCGCAAGGTAACCTGATCACACTCGAAATCTATGGGGTGTCCGTGATCGCGAGGGACAATGTACGGGGTGATTCTCTCGACCGTACCCGTCGCGTCGACAATGACAATTGTGTTAACTCTTTGCACTCCGGGCGAATCAACAATGGCGAATTTCTTAGCTAACTTAAAATGATTTCAAATTAACATATGAAACTTTTATATTTTAATATCTTATCTATCTTTGTATATAAAGAAAGATGATTTATTGAATGTTAAATTGTTGAATGTTAAAAATCTATATTGTTGCGTGATATTTTTAATAGTAAAGTAATTACTAAGAAGCATCCTCGGTTTTTCAGGGGAAATATCACAATAGAATATCGTTGCAAACAATCTTACAATCCCAATAACGTGTTTCTCATTTATTGTCTATTATTCTTATTTTTCATCTTCTTATACTACATCCCTATTTCTATCACTATTTTCCTTCCCTTTATTGTCAATTTCTTAATGAATGGAAATAATTTCATTATTCAATAACGAAAAATCAAATTCATTTCCACTTGAACTAATTTCATTACAGTTCAAAAGTGCGCTTACAAAACTCGGAAACTTTGAAAATAATATTTCTATCGTCACGAATGTCAAATTCGGACTAATCCCGAAAATAGTTCGATCCGAGATCTTATTTCAGATGAAAATCTAACCATTTGATAATATATTTTTCTATTACGAGATTTTCATAAGATTATACTTTAGACTTTATAAAATTTAAAAAAAAAAATCAAACATAAATAAATATTGTCGTTCGAATTGCTGCATCAATCCAAGTCATCGTTGGAGCGCAAAGGGTTAAAATTTAGATTACTAGAAATCTGCAAACGTGTAGTAAGTACTGCTTTTGGATTTCTTTTTTTCTTTTTTTTTTTTTTTTTCCCCTTCAGAAAGATAACGTCGTTGCGCAACGTCGAAGGAGAACAAAAATGCGCTACATTCTTCTCCCTTTCGAGTCTCCTTCCTTTAATCGCGTTGCGCTTTTTACGGTTCAGATTACTCGTGAATCATTAGATGGGCAAGGAGAGTCGGGGACAGCGGCGGGGTTACCAAGAGGGAGGAAGAGGCACCCATACTGCGGCCACCGCTCCTTATCTTGGCATTAGGAGATTAGTACGTCCCTCCGAACGCGTTTTTCCATCTTCGCCTCCGCTTTCTTTTTCCCTTCGTTCCTTTCTCGAGCTTAACTCCGACGCCGGGGTAAAAGCAATTTAGGAAATGTTCTTTTTGCCACGCCGTTTCGTCGCGTCGTTTATCTTCGCTCCCGCTCCGGTTTTAACCGGGCCTTGATAAGTGAATAATCGTTGCCAAATATTTAGGATTATACTCGACGAGTTTTCCTATCGTTTCACCCCCTCGTTCGTAACAATCGAAAAAAAAAAGAGAAGAACCTCGAAGAGTCGAAGAGCGCGAAGATGATGAGGACGATGAACGACGTCGTTTCGTGTGGACGAAACTGAACTGTCGTCGGGATCGACGAAAGTGACGAAAGACACGAAAGTTGTACCACTTACCGTGAGGTGTTGAAACAGCCACGCCCTGAGGATGTTGGTCGCCACTTTGGGGAAGATACCCCTCTTCTTCTGATTCTTCTTACCCGACGAGTCGTCGTCTTCCTCGCCGGTACCCTCGCCGCTTCCGATACTCGCGTTACTCGCGTCACCTGCGAATAATCAAAAACCATGATCTTGTTAATCGTCCTACTAATTCCAAAAATTCCAAAGTTTTAGAAAAAAAAACTTGTATCTAGAAAAACTATTGAGGGAGAAAGAAGGAGAGAAAGAAAGAGGAGAGGGGAGGATAAAAAAGACGATAAATCACGGAGGGTGCATTATTATCGAGGGTGAGATTTTTCGAGCACAGTTTAAACCACGTCCCGATTTTCGGGCGCGAAACAGACCGAGAACGATAACCACCTCGTCCCCCTCCCCTCCCCCCTATAGGTCGGTTCCCATGCATACAAACACCATTAAGCCACCCGCAATCACCCCTGTCCCTCTTTCGCTCGGCCCCCCCTAAACGTTTCCAGCCCCGATCCGGCTCTCCCCATCCCCCTCGCTTTCATCCCCCTTGGCCGCATTAATTCCCCGTCATTTATCAATCTTAGCTTTTTAATTGCACGGTCACCGGGGACCTAGGAGCAGCGAGACGGTAATGAGAGATATTAAGACGGCTTACGGGTCACGCTTTCCCGAGGCAAATATCATTTTTATAAATTATCGGGAGCCATTTCCAGGTATTTCTCCCTGGCTAAACGTGCGCCCCGCCCCCCCCCCCTTTTCTTTCGCTTCTCTCTTTCTTCCGTCAGAACCATTCTTCGCATTAATTAAGAACCGGAGCTGATGATGAACTCTCGTCGAAAGCGCGGCCGCGTGAAATTGACGGCCTCGGGGGAAGGGGTAAGGATATTTTTTTTTCGCGAAACTCGATAAATTTTGTTAAACAAATCCGAATATCGGTACGGCGAATTGGATAAAGTTTACAAGAGAGGAAATAGAGAGACGAATTGGATAGGCAAGGTACGATTGTGATTGCGTTGTATGTTTCTGAATGATGTCTTGTCTTTCCTTCTGTTTCCAGTATTAAAAGGGTGTATTAATAAGAATAAGAATATTGCAACGGAAGAGGCATTTTAACAGGTAATTTCCATTCATTTTCTCAAGGAGCGAGCAGAAACTGATCGAACCAGAGACGGAGAAAATTTCAACGACGAACCCAATAATTTATCATTCAAATATATAACCGGGAAATTATTCGAAATCAACTCGATTCAATCATTACACGATTCCATAATTAACTCTGTAAATTATTTGCCTCCTCCAAAGAGGATAACGTTCCCCTTACGATCAGGCGTTAGATCCATATTTGAACCGCGCTATCTAAAAATAGCGCGCGGAAGTCGCGATCGAACGAGTGCTATCCCGATCCGAATCGAAATTCACCTGGCGTGTGCCCGATCTCGTTTCGAACCGGCGGAAGTTCGAGGAAGTTCCCTTTATACCTCTCTCTCTCTCTCTTTCTCTTTCTCTTTCTCTCCGTTCTGCCGCGGAAGGAGAACAGGCTACTTACGCGGACGGATTATAAATGACCGAGCCTTATCGTGGTGCCCAAGGCTCCGGTTCCCAAGGTTCTATCGTAACAGAGAGATCATGGGTGAGCTCCCATGGGTTTCACGATGACAGGTCGCCCGGGGGCGCCCGACCCACCCACCCCTCTCGAGAGAAGGCGGCCCCGTGGCCGAGATTAACTTTGAATTCGTACGGGGTGGATGGGCAGCACGGGGAAGGAAAAATTTGTCCGTCCGTCGTGAACGGAAACGGGGAGATGGATGGATGGAAATCGTGGCTGCGTATTCCTCCTCGCCGATTTCGTGGGGGATTCCAGGGGAGGAGAGAGAGAGAGAGAGAGTTGGAGGGAAAAGCGATCGACTTCGATCAAGCCTCGTCGACCACCTGCCATTCGATTTCGTTGCCCGACGAGATTCCCGATCTGACGGTGGCGGGATACGCCACCGTCCCATCGACCGGAATAATGGACGAGGGGTGCGCCGGAATGTTCAATTAAGGATGACGGGGGATTTTTCTTTGCTTTCCTTTTTTTTTTTTTTGTAACATCCCGCGGCCTTCGATCCACGATGGAAGACTTGTTTCGATTTGTTTTCCAAAGCTTTTCTATCGCTCGGTGGATTCGTCGCTTGAATCCTATCTTTTTCTCGTGGATTGGCGATCCATATTATCGGGGGATCCTCTTCTTCGAAGATCGAGAAATCACGGCACGCAAGAATCGGCGAGGATGTTAGAATGGGAAGAGTAAGATTCGTGCAATCGAGCAATAACGATCAAGAAATCACGTCATCGCCTGGAGCGTGATCACGGTTCGGTTCACAAGGAGCCAGAAGTCTGCGGCGGCGTCGTCTCTCTCTCGATCGAGGAGAAACGCTTGTTTTCGTCCAAATAAACGAGAGAGAGAGAGAGAGAGAGAGAGGAGGAGGAGG